GTCTCATTGTCAAATAACTGTAAGTTTTTTACGTACGTACGTACCTGATTTACACATGGAGCTTTGCCATTCACAAAAAAAATATCGACTCCATGATCACCAAGCAATCCGAGACCGTACGGATAAATCTGCAAATTGCATGATTTGCATGATTTGCATGATTTAGTTTTGCTAATATCGATACAAAGATGTATGAATATTATCTTTTAAGTCTAACCTATAATTTTGGAATAAAAAATATACGTATAAGGAAATCGGAAGTCGGAATTACCTTTTTTAATGATCTGTAAACCGCATACGTACGTACGTACAGATCTCCTGCAATGCCTATTCCAAATCAATTGGTTAATATGTAGTACATTTTATTAGTGGTGTCACCTATACTGCAAGAGATCCACCGCATACATGATGTATTTAATATTATAAGCATTAATTTTGCGTCTTCTGATTTGAAACCGACATTTTTCTTTTGTTTGTAACATAATTAAGCTTCATGATTTACACTTAACCAACTTTATACTAATTCTAAATTACAGCATAAATTAAAAAGAACCTTAATAGTGCCCTAAAATGAGCAAAAGTATTATCGTATATACAATAAATATAATACAATGCCATACAAAATTAATTTCTTGGTTTCATAATCCGGGTCAAGTTTTTTTTCGGTTTTTTTTTATCGTTAGAGAAAAAATCAAGTAATTGGCGTTATTTTTTTAGAATATGTGTTATGAAAACCAAGAAATTAGTTTTGCGTGCCTTAGATTGAAAATAGAATTATTGTTATTATTATGTATTGATTTTTTTTTTTTAATTAAAAAAAAAAAGAAAAACGGAAAAGTCAGGTGATTTGTTTAATTAACATCTATTTGATTTACAATCAAAATTGTTAAATGATTCTTTTTTAATTAAAGAAAATTTTATAACAAAAGGAACGTATATTGAGCGGACTACTATGTATATATGTATATAGATAATAGAAACAAATTTATAAATAACGCGAATTTGTATTACGAAAGTTTTTTTTTGTTCTATTCTAACATAATGATTTTTTGCAAAAAATGATCTAAAACATGTTTCTCATAAAAGTACAAACAAACCATTGAGAAGGGTGAAAGATTAAATATTCGAAATTGTATCATTTTACATTATTTTAGTGCGAATAACGATGTGAGCAGGATGGAAATCACTGGGAATATTGTGATTACTAAAGAATTACCACCAGAGGCTTTTTGGGTAGTGGATGAATCAGCTACTGATTTGGATGTTTGTTTATCTGGTTTTTCTGATGGGGCTGATGAGGTTGATGAGGCCGGTGTGGTTGATGTGGCATTAGGTGCTTTAGTGGAATTATTATTATCTACGACTAAGCTGCGGCTACCTCCAAGTTCTACGTAAGGTTTGGTATCTCCTATACATTCAGGGATCGTAGTCATCTTTAAATCTTTAACATT